CGTTTCATTTTCGTTTCTAGTGGTCATAACCACCCTCTTTAGCCAATATGTGCCTCAAATACTTCTTCAAAATTCGGCCAAATGAAGAAAACCGCCAACAAAAATACCTCACAACATTCAAAATATTGCTTCGGCGCGACCTTCTTTGTTTAACTGGCGCTTAAGCGCCGGATCTGGCACTTAGGCGCCAAAACTCTTTTGCGCAATTTTTCACCTTTTTGCTCCAAATTTGATCATTTTTCACTCCTTTAAGCATTTTTTCCAATTTTACTTGTATCTGCAATAAAAACACAAAATACCTTCCATTAAAGTGCATTATCTCAAAAATAGATAAAAAATGTGTTTAAAAATACCATATATTTTTTGTGTAAGTATATCAATTATCCCATTTACTTTTGATGATACTAGTATATGGTTTGTAATATCTTTTTTCTATTCCTAAACATATTCTTTATTGTCTTTCTTACACTGTACATACCATCATATAAATACCCAAGTGACAGTTGTTCATCAAAGTCAATAGTACGAAGTAACATATAATTATGTAAAAAATATTAGTAAAGAATTTTTTTTTGTATCTTTTAAGTTCCCTCATCTAATTCTACAATGATAAGTTCTAGTATTTTTTATTTTACAACTCTTCATCTTAAAATCTAGAACTAATAAACGATGTTGGGTACTTAAATCCTCACTTGGAATGACCTTACAATATTTACAATCTCGACGATCATTTCTTCTCATAAGAAAATAATCATTTGTGTTTTATTAGATCCATTCTTATAAGCAATAAGATACTCATCCTTTTTGTTTAATAAAATATTAGTAATAACAAAATCATACACTAAAACAAACTCTAAAATAGCTCTATCTTCTTCATTAGACTTCAAAATCGTAGCCACCATGAATATTTATAAAATCTTCTACAATTCTACCGACATGTCCATTTAAATCTTCTCCAATAAAATTTTTTTCTTCAAGAGGTATCATTTGTATTAAGTCTTCTAAGTCATTCCAGAATTTATCTTTAGACCCTATATCCTAACCTGTTTGAGGAGCATAAACACTTATAATATTAAAAATCTTAATATCATTGATAAGCTTAAGGGCTATAATTCTATCTCCAACCCATTTAGTTTCTTGAATACATAAGACATTAATATTTCTATGAATCATAATACCAACTAATTTCATTAGTTTACCATTTAGAGTACATATATTCCAAGATTCTATCATAATATTAATTCCATTAGTTTATGGACTAACTTTTTTACCCACATTTGTTATCATAATATTAATTTCATTAGTTTATAGACTAACTTTTTTTACCCGCATTCTCCCGTAATGTGGAAATTCTTGCTTATTTGACACCAACACCCGGGGAGCTGGTGTAGCTTTCTTTAGTTTTACGAAGTAACCTATAATTATGTAAAAGAATATTAGACAATACATACTGATAATATCATAATATTATATCAATATATGATAAAAATATAATTATATAAATGAAAAAAAACTAATATTATGAAGGGCCCTGCAAACTTTGATATTATAAAACAATCATTACAGCCCGGAGTCTAAAATGATAGAAGTAGCATCTTTTTTTTTTTAAGTTTTATACAACTTCTGAGTCTGTGTAATACCTGCTTATGATAAATGCCTGCAAATCATGCTTATGCTCATAGACGCTCTAATAAGAGTAATAGCAAATTGTTTTAATGCATGACGCATTATCTCTTTCCACATTGGCCCTTTTTTTAGCCAAACTAATATGAAAACATGATTATAAATAAAAACTTACGGTCAATAAACTCAAGTGAAAACATAGCATGAGATCCATAAGCTCTATTTCAGTTTCATGCATCATAACATAACATGAAAACACATTCTTACAGAAGCTACGAAGGAGTCGTTGACTTAGGGCTTAGAAACCGGAGAAAAATGAAAACTTGCGGTCAATGCTGTGAAAATGGACAGCAACTATTGATATCACGACAGTGAAAGACGGCGAGCAGCTTGAATGGCGGCGAACCGCCCCAGTGCATCTCCCTCGAACGTGAGAAGGCAAAGCAGCAACAATTGGCAAGCCAAGAATTTGCTAGAAATTTTAATCATGAACAGCGAAATTAAAACTTTGAAATGTCGAACTGGTTCCTCGGTCTACAGGCGGTTTGACCAGTTCTGGGTGGCTCATGGGCAGAAATAAGTTTCATGGTTCGAACCAGGCTGACCACTAGTTCACAGTCGAACCAATCCGGTCCGGTTTTCAAAACCGTTCATACGACCCGATTCCCATGTATTTACATAGTCTAACATCTAAATTTTGTTTTTTCTACCATCCAAATCGTTTATATCGCATGAGAGAAATATCAATATTTTAACTTTTGAAATAAAATACACAATTTCATATATATATATATATATATATATATGCATGTATATATGTATGTATATGTGTGTGTGCGCGCGCTTGTAAACATTAGGAATTGTGTGGTACGTATGTAAATCTTTCATACATTTTTTATATTCCCACTTATGTAGACGCACACAAAGTACCTGCTTCTCACAGAAATGAGAAAACATCATCTCATTTTATATAAAAGAAAGCATTAAAGATAACACTCAACATCAATCATTTACTTCACGAAAGACAATGGCAAACAAAATAAGGAACAAGAAAGCATACAGAAATCTAAATCGGTCTCAGAGAAACGATTTCATGCGAGGCCTGACGATTGACTGAGCGCCATCAACGAAGATGTTCGTGCCGGTCATGTAGCGAGAGTCATCTGCGATCAGATAGAGCACAGTGGAAGCCAGATCTTTCTCAGGATCGAGCCATCTCTTTAGCGGCATAATTTCTGCAGTCAGCTTCTGTGCTTTTTCCTTACCTACTGAAACTGGGTAGTTATCGTCCAGGTGAAGGCCACGGGTTATGCCGTTAACCCGTATGCTGTGCTTGCCAAGCTCCATTGCTGCCGTCTGCATGAAATGGTTTTATAGTATCATGTAGCTATGAAAATAAAAAAAACAATGCATTGGAATTGAGCTCTTAGTTTGATTCAGCTAGTATAAATGCTCCTTTATTATTATTATTATTAATAGGGGATTTACTTATATAGCAAACAAACAAAACAAACGATTAATTAATGCCCCTGATGGCAATGGGAAATGTTTTTTGAAACCTTTATTCGAGGAGAGCAAAGTAGCTGTTAGGAGGAAAAAAGTGTGAACTCGTTTGGAGACCTCTTTTAAAATGAAATGTTTTGACGCTTCCCTCCAGATACAATATTGGGGCATTTGAGAAATTTTCGAAAACCTCCATTCGAGGAGAGCAAAGTACCTATTAGACGGGGAAAAACGCGAACTCGTCTGGAGAATTATTTTTTAAAATAGGGAGGCTCTTTGTTTGCAATCTAACCCTTTTTGCATGTGCACTGGAAGCCCGTCGCATCTTTAAGAATGCAGGTTAAATGTTATTTTTGTTCCCCCTTGCGTCTTTTGAGACTGCAAGATGAAAATTTTGATTTTGTCGCGACCCCTTGTGCCTCCTCATGACTGCATTGTGTCATAGTCTTATGACACTGGTCAGGGATTCTTTTGAGAAAGTTGACAACAGAGAATGAAGGTCGGCATTCTCCCGTGCCCCCAAACGGTGGTTAACATCGGCAAGTTGCCAAATTTTTGAGTGATTTGGATTTGTAAATAAGAAAATTTAGGAATCTTTTGGATTATAAAATAAAAATAAAATGCGAATCATTTGAAATTTTAAGAATTTGAGAGTTTAGAGTTTTTGAAATGTAGATTCTTAAGATTTTAAAAGTATTTAAAGCCACATGCTTTTGAGATTTAAGGTCTCTAGGGTTTAAAATATTTTAAAATTTGGACCTTTAAATTTTTGGCTCTTAGGATTTTTTATCAATTTTTTGGTTTTTCAAACTTTAATTTTTAAAGTTTAAAATAAAAGTCAATGATAACTTTTAGATTTAAGTCTCGATGGCAAAATTAACCCAAATTTGTGCTTTCAAAATTAAGACTTAAGGGCTTATAATTAGTCAAAAAATTTGGATTTCATTTAAAATCTAAACGCTTATGTTTGAATTATTTGAATGGACTCAAGTATTAAATATTTTTGTTTTCAAACATAACTTAATACATTTAGGGCTTAGCTAATTTAAAATCAAAGAACCAAAATTCACAAAGCTAAGCTTAAATTGAAATTAAAATGCCCCAAATTGAGGAGATAAGATTGAATTGAAAGTCCCACCACCGGATTCGTAATATTCTTCTTAGCGAACAGACAGCCGTCCCTCTTAAAGTCTGAAGAAACAACATTGCATGTAATACAATAAAATAAAATCCAAATAAGAGTATATATTTCAAATGATATTAAAAGTTTTCAAAGCATAAGCTTCATGGGGACTCCATGAGTCCGATGAAATATCTTGAAAATTCTAAGCTATTCAAATATATATATAAAATTAATACCCGCATGTGCTCCAACCAAAATATTAAATGTTTAAATACGAGATTTGAGAATAATGTGTGGGCTAATCGGGTCGCCTTGTCCAAAGAACAAGTTGTAAGTCTCATCCCACTAGTTCGATCCTCCTCCTCATAAAGACTGGAGTTAAGGAGTCCAGTAAATCCTAATAAATGTTCAAATTCTAAAATAAGAGTTAGTAAGTCCAAATCACCTAATTTGATCCTTCTACCTATAAAAACAGGAGTCGAAATGACTTGTGCTTTGAAAAGCTTAAGTTGATAAAATTAAATGCTCTCACTTCAAATATAAAATCTTTAAATATTCAATATCTTGATAATAACCGTGTTGATATGAACATTTCAACATGAGTCAATCTTTTAAATCTAAATTTTCAAAATAATCAACTAAAACTAAAGATAAAATTCAATCACTAAAAACTAAAATCAAAATCCATACACCCCCACAACAGTTTGTCGAAGGTGATAAATTTCTAACCGACTTTAGCTCACAAAGAGCTAATATCATATTAAAAGTATCTCTATATTCACAATCAAAGTGATTGCATATAAGTAAGGATGTGGCTCGAGACCTATGTCCGTGTGGTTCTGCCGCCAAATGACACCACAAAACAACGGTTATGACCAGAGCCCTCTGACTGGGCGCTTGCCCCCGAAATGACACAATTATATTATGATCGCGACCGCAGCCCATATATTTTCTAACGGTTGTTTACCATTAAAGTTGTGAATTAAAAGAGTAAAATTGATTGACACAAAACCATATCTTAGTTAAGTTCGACCTAAATTTGTCCCTTTAGACAAATATCCACCCAGATCTATAAGGATCTTTTATACGACGCAACCCATGTTGCTGACAAGAATCATTCTGTCAGATTGGGTCAACTACCTCCCTTGACTAAGTGATCGGGGACCATGACCCGAGATGACAGAACCATGAAATCTTGACGGGTTTTATCTTTATTTCTCCACCATCCGTTTTAAGCTTCAAGTGATAAATTCTGCAATTTAAATCGTGTGTTTGAAGCTATTATATGCTCAATTTTCAAATGTTAATGATTAGCCTTAATTGAAAGTGTTCTCCCGTTATCGAGAGGAGTAATTAACCATAAAGGCTTGCGCTTATGGAAAACATCGAACCTCAGATGAAAAATTCCTTGCAAATGAGGGAGAAATCTCTGGGTAGTGTCCTATCAACAATCCAATCCGCCTTCTGAATATTCGGCCCTCCAAGGCTCTCTCAAGAAGTCAAAAATAAAAAAAATGCAGAGTTGTTCTTGGGGAGTGATCGTGAATTTTCCCAACAAAGTAAATTATAGGTCATGAATTTAATTGTTTTGACTGGCTTGATGAAGAAATCTGTGGGCTCCGAAAAATTCACAATTGCTGAGGAAGGTTGTTGAGGAAGAGATCCAAGCACTCAAGTTAAATGGCACGTCAACCCTTACAAAAATTCCTCCAAATAAAAGACCAATTGGATGAAAATGGGTGTTCAATGTTAAGTAAAGAACGAATGAGAGCAATTGAGAGATTCAAGGCTAGATTGGTAGCCAAAGGTTTCATTCAGTTTTATGGGATAAACTATCATTAGACATTTGCTCCAATGACCAAATTAAATATTGTAAGAGTTCTTCTCTTATTGGCAATGAATAAAGAGTAGGAATTGCATCAAATTAATATCAAGATACGTTTTTGATTGGAGACATGGAAGAAGTGTATATGAAAATTCCCTCAGAATTTGAAGATAACTCAAATAAATATCAAGTTTGTAAGCTAAAAAAGTCACCTTATTGCCTCAAACAATCGCCAATGTCTTCGTTTAATAAGTTTGCCAAGACTATGAAATCTAATGATTATATCCGAAGCCAAGCAGATTATATACTATTTTTAAAGCATACACATGGAAGTAAGAAAGTGATATTCATTGTCTATGTTGATATAATTTTAACAGATGATGATGAAAAAAAGATTGAAAAGATTAAGGAGACTCTTGTTAATAAATTTGAAATTACGAATCTAGGAGTGATGAGATAATTTCTCGGCATGGAAGTTCAGAATGTGTATTATGATTTCCCAAAGTAAGTACATCCTACACTTATTAAAAGAAATAAAAATGCTAGGATGCAAAACTACTAGAAGTCCTATGAATTTCAACAAAAAAATTACAATTAGAGGAAGAAAAGACCTCAATGGAAAAAAGTAGATACCAAATGTCTGTCACACATGAGACCTGATATCACCTACTCTGTCGGCACAGTGAGTCGATACATGAATAGTTCAAATGAAGAACATTTAGAGACGGTGTGCAAAATATTAAGATTTCTTAAGAAGATCTCTTAAAAAAGATTATTATTTAAGAAATCTGATAACAGGGGTGTAGAGGTGTACAATGATGTTAGCTGAGCAGGAAAACTCACGGTTAGAAGATCCACATATGGATGTTGCTCCTATGTCTGAGGAAATCTTGTCACATGGAAAAGCGAGAGCAAGCATTGGTCTCTAGAAGCGGTGCAAAATTTGAGTATTAGGCACTTTCTTTGGGAATTTGTGAAGGAATATCAATTCAAAGAGTACTAAATCAGTTGGGATACTCTACAGTTGATCCCATAAAGATGCTGTGACAGCAAAGTCGCCATCAATATTGCAAAGAATTTTGTACATCATGATGGGACCATGCACATTAAGATTGATAGACATTTTATCTCTAAGAAGTTCAATGGATGCATTATTCATTTAATCAACATTCTGACTCATCTTCAGCTTGTCGATGTCTTCACAAAATTTCTACCTCTAGGCAACTTCATAGATTGGAACACGAAGATGGGTCTCTACATATCTATAACCAGCTTACGGGGGAGTGTGAAATTCTAGGTTTCCTATTTAGATTTATCCTCATTCATTTCTCTATTATTATGTTTGTAGTTCTTTCCTTATGTGTTTGTTGTATCTTTGATAAGTTGTAATTGTAGGAATTATGTTTTCCCTAGAGTTTACTATCTACATAATCAGAGGAGTTATAATTTGAAGATTAAGGAATAAGAGAATTTTTCTACTCACTTTTTCCTTTATGATGGTTTCTTGACATCATGTCAAAATTCAAATATGATGAGTTAACTGATCTCCTCAGATTTTTCTCTTAAACTCTGTCTTTGGTTATCAATTATTTAGCATCTTGAACATATATATCTGATTTCTTGTCCAAAATCTCGAGTCCAAATGCAATGATTTTTGGATCATTTTCATTCTCAACAATCTCTCTCTCAAAATGACGAAGGCTAAGTTATGCCTGGTTAACAAAAGTCAGCCTTCTCCCAAATTTTGCTAATGTAAGCTACCAGAGCCAATGTTGGATCACTAGATTGTTAAACTTCTTTTGAATAGATGGCATGCAGTCAAATGATGATAAAATAAAATTTAAATGTCAGCGATCAAATCATGACCAAATAAAATTTAATTATCTCCACACTCAACGTAACCTTTACTGTTCTCGCTGCTCTACATAAATAAAAGCCTAAACCAGAACAGTTACATTCATCTTGTTTTACATCCCATCTCAGAATTCCAACGGTCAAAAAAATCCCCTTGAACAACCAAACCCCTCCCTCCATGAACCCAACCCAACCTAAGGCCACCCGAAGAGAACCTCACCTAACTCAATCCCTTACTGGTCAACTACAACCCAAACCTATATACCTCAACCATACCTGAGAGCTTGTTCACCTCAATTCCTAACCAAGTAGTTTAAAGCAAATTATAGCCCTTGTCTATTGTTGCATGAAATTTTCTTCTTCCATATACTACTTTAAACAAACACAACATTTACCTTATCCTTCTACAAGACCTAAGAGCTACTATCCCCATTCTTAGGCGCGTCACAAGTTTTATGCACCTCATTATTCTTAGACTATTCACCATTAAACTCCCATAACCTTATGAAAATCTCCAAATGTTCATATCTATGATCATTTCTATGATAACTTCTTTCCAAATGCTCCATCAAAGGCTGTCATCGATTCTGCAAGTTCCTTATATTCACTTTGACGTGCCACCAACAAATTTTATCGAGCACTAATTTCAATGCATTTTTGATATGAGATCTTTCAAATTCAAATTCAATCCAAATGAATCATCTTGACAAGACAAGCCCAATGATGTTAAAGTAGGCTCAATCTAGGTCCAATCAAGCCCAAATCAAACCATTGAAGTATATCGTCAATTGAATGATCAAATGAACTCTAAGTATGACATTATTATAGTCAAATCGGTGTCTCGATGAGATAGATCCAATGAGCCTAAGATCGCTCAATTCTGAGGTCATCAAGGTGCCCAAATCCTTAAAAAATCACCTATGATCAAGTGGGATCTACATGAACCATTCGATCAGTTGATTAGGAAAGTTATGCGTCAAAGAGCCAAAATGTCTCTCCCCAAAAGACTACAAATAGACACCTATGTCAGGCAGAAGAAGAAAAGAAGAATAAGTGAAATTCTAGAGTTTGTTTTATAGAGAAGACTTGGTGAGTAGCCACCGGCCTCCGTAATCCCCAGCCACCATCGACCACCAGCCTTCGTAGCAGTTGGCTACCATCGACCAAAGCCCGTCGTCACCACAAGAGGCTTACGACCACCAACTATTGGCAACTACTGCTTGCAACTGTTATAGTCAGCTTATGACATTTATGACCAACTACTACTGTTACAGTTTTCAACTACGGTCTCTGTGACTAACTGCCGCTATTGTAGCCACCGACTACATGTCAACTACTGCCTTTATAGTAATCAACTATGGCTTTTGTAGTTAACTACTAGTGCTACAGTTTCCAACTACGACCTCTATGAGCAACTGCCGCTATTATAGTTATTGACTACAGCTTTTACGACTAACTACTGCCTTTATAGCAATCAACTACGATTTTTGTGGCCAACTAATACTATTATAGTTTCCAACTACGGTTTTTGTGGTCAACTACTACTATTGCAGCCACCGACTATAGTCTTTATAACCAACTATTGCCTTTGTACCAACCAACAATGATTTTTATGGCCAATTACTATTGTTACAGTTTCAACCTATGGCTTGTGTGGCAAATAATTGTTATTGCAGCCTCCAACTATAGCCTTTGTGGTAAATTACTACTATTATACTCATCACCTATGTAATTGTGGCCAACTATTGCTATCTCTATAAAATAGCTACATTGGTTGTAGCCCAACTATTGTTATTATAACTAAGCTACTATTATACATCTGTGATTACCAGTTTTGTAATTTCATCTTCTATAATTCAGGAGAAGAGTGCCCTTACGTATTTACAATTATATAGTGAATTACTTTGACCAGGGTAGGCCCCGTGATTTTTTCCCTTTCTAAGGTTTTGCCACGTGAAAATCTTAGTGACTCCTTTCGCTTTCTTTTGTGTGTGTATATTGGATCTTCATGCAATGCTAACAACTTAAAGTAAAAAATTTAATAAAATGTTGCACCGGTGGCTGGGGATTAGCCACCAACGACCATCACACCTGAATTTTGTGCCATCATAACAAATTATCAAGTAAAAATAACCTAACATTTGTGAGCCCCCACGGAATTGAGCGAAACATCTATCTCTGCAGCACTGCTCCTTACACCTTAACAGTCGGGAAAAGAATTTCAAATAGCAGCCTAAGGTTAAAAAGGGTGGAAACAGTAAAGAACAGAAAATACAATTTATTGGTTTTATCATCAATACGGTAAACCTATTGAATCAGATGGAGGAATAAAAAGATAAATGAGCAGCTTAAAAAGGGATCACTGAAACACTAGCTCCAAATCAGGGAAAAAAAAAGATAGAGATAGATGGATCTGCAAAATCTTACACCGTGGCTTAAGAATTACCCTAGTTTGAACTGGCTTTTATGGTTTTACCCAAAAAAGTAACAGTGTACACCATGGAAGAAATTACAAACGCTATAACATCGTCCATGATAGCTTATATTTCATCAAATATTTAGATGGCAAGAAAACTGCTATTCCATGTCACATATCACATATGACGTAAGAAAAAGTATTGAAACTAAAAGAAAATCATGGAAGATATTTTGCTTACCCTAACCAATTGTTGCACACCACCCATACATGCACCAAGAGCCGCAGCTCCTGGATACAAACCTCTTTCTGCACCTAAAACTGAGGTCATGAAAACAACAGATCCCCCAAAGTTAGCATCCCTCATTCTTTTAGCAACAGCTTGTAGCAAAAACCATGGTGCCATGAGATTCACTTTCACTACCTTCTTGTATTCAGCTTCACTGACAAGAAGAAGATCTTGAACTTTGCCTGCCTCAGGTCAATAGAGGAAAAGACAAACAAATACTTGAGTTGTTTTCCTTAAGAATATTTTATAAAAATCATGAAAAGTAGAAATCCAATGGATGAAAATAAGAAGATGAAGAACAGAGAACTGAAGAAGGCATAGTAATCAACCATTCATTATCGATGTGTATATAAATTAATTATATAAATTTGAAGGGTTAATGACTATTTTCATGATTTTTTTTGCTTATAGACATGGTTTGACACTTCCCTTCAAATACTACATGAGTGTCACAATAAAGGGCTGCTGGTTAGTTGCACACCTAGTCATGGAGCTGCTGCTTAACCAAATAATTTTATAATTTGCGGTGACCTTGGCTTGATATGCAGCTTTTAAAGATGAAAAGAAATAGTTGGTTGTTCCTTCATTCTCCAAGATTTGGAGTGAACCAACATAATGCAATAGAGCCCGTTCGGCAATTTAATGTTTGGAAAAGCTCCCAAACAAAATAATGAAAAACCTGAAGTTGAAGATTACTAGTGGATGTGAAGAGAAACCCTTCTCCCAGTTACCTTTGAAAAAGCACAGGACTTGCATAGCTGAAACAGAGTGATATTTGCAAGGCTTATGCATAAATCTACTAATCAGAAGAACCAAATAGAAAAAAAAGCTTGGTCAGGCTAATGCAAGATAAATGAGGCAACCAACAAATCTTCTGTTTCTGTTTAGTCCAAATTCCCTCAACCATATAGGATACAATTTGGTTTTAATTTTCAAGATTGATGCCAAGTAAACATTCATTCATGCTTAACACTCATTTTATTTTATAAAGGAAGAAAAAAATCAATGATTGAATTGCATTCACAATAAAAAGCAACAAAGAGAAAAGCTCTTCAAAAAGGAAGAAGTGTTCTATTTACAATTTTATTTTGTATTAGAGAGAAGAGACTAACTATAACAGCAATAGCAAATCTTTCACATTGAACCCTCATTTTCATAATAGACGATTGTATTCTCTCTCAGCTAAACAATTTGATATCTCTATACTAATCTCAAATTTTATATGAGGTATGGTATCTCCAAATATGACTTCAAGGGGTTAGTACATTATTTGATTTTTGGGTAATTGTGGACATGGACGGATCTCATTGAACTGCATAAAATTGTCTTAAGTTTGCGATCTTTGTTCTCCTATCTTAGTTAGTTTTTCAATGAATATTTTTGAATTTTTGCCCGAGTTAAAATACCCATTTGTTCTTTAAAAGCATCCACTTGAACAATAAAAAGTATGTTTTGAAAGGCATTGTGAAAGAGATGGAAAACTTTCAAACAAAAATTAAATAAAGAAAAAAAAGGAATAGAGTTACAAATATAAGATCCATGTTCACGTGATTTATTAAGATCCACTAACATCTACAACCACACGGAAATCAAATAATTAATCAAGATTCAAAAGTGAATAAATTACACTCTGTATAAATTTAAAAATAAGGACAAAGTTGGAACAAAGCATTCACCTGTCACAAAGATAAGAGTTAGATGTAAAAAAATAAAATTTTGTTTTAATATAGTTAGTCTGTTCATTTATTATTACAAAAGTTCAAACAAGAGCTACTAGCTAAATAAATAGTTTTTCTTCTGTTAGAACTGAAAACACCAATATTTATTCCTTATTGAAATAGCTAAATACCTACTCATAAAATTAATTAAAAAAACTCATTTCTTTATTTTTCTAGGCCCGCTCTCTCCTCTCTCTTTAACTTACTCTCCTCTCGTCTCTTTGTTACCTCTTATTATGGATGTCAAATGATTATAAGTTTATTCTCCTTCTATATGGGAACATGAGGTAGTGAGTCTGAATGAATCCTAATTATGAGAACCGCCAATCTTCAAAGCTCAAATGTAATTGAAACTTATATTTGATAGCCGCCAAAGTTGAATATAAAATAAAATTTTATCTAAAATGACAAAGAAAATTTTGACTCCACAACTAATAATCTCCCACTTAAGAGTAGATATATTTATTTACTAATTGTGTCAAAACTCTTCTTCAGAAAACACTTCTTTCACTGTAAAGATTAACTATGGCTTTATAATATCTTTACTTGGGGCAAATTAAGCACACAAATCCGACACACTGAGACTCTTCACTTTGTTTCCGACCAATGTGACACATTCGAGCACAGCTTTATAATATCTTATTCCATCATTACAAATCTCTTAAATCCATCTACAATAAGTTTTACCTCATTTTCATATTGCTACTTTATTTTAAATTTTTGTCTACCTTACAATATCCACTATCATTTAGAAGCACCTACTTGAGAGAAACTTCATTTTGTATCGTTTTATAAAAATTGTTAATAAAATATTTCATAACTCATATTTCTTTTTGCTTGATATCATACATGGTATTATTCTTGCCTCTACAAGCTACCATCAAAATTAGTGAATTCAACACATCACCACATGATATTACACTATACAATACATAGAGAATCAAAACCATTTTAATGTTTTATTCTTATTTCAAGTCAGGGTCCGTCTGGGGCAACCGCAATTGTTTGAATAAGCATTTGTAAAACTGCTGCAGAAAAAATTGTTCAAAAAACTGCGGTGATTATTATAAATTTATTTTAATTTTAAGAAATAATACTACAGCTTTCTAACAGCCACCACACTTTAACAGATCAAGTTGAAAAAAAGAGCGTTCTACCACAAAAAAATTTTTAGAAAGCAACAAAAAAGTAGTTCCCCAAACATAATTATGGTAGAGGACTAAAAAGCAAAGCAACAAGAAAGCTATCTCAAACGGACCCCTAATATATACCCAACACTTGACCAAGGATATAGCGCACCACCAATTATCCTCAGCTTGATAGTGGTAAGTATTGTACACATTTTCATTACTTATGTAAAAAAAAGGCACCAAAATTTGGCTCATCTAAGAAAAAATATTTAAATTAGAATGCATTTGATTGAAACAAACTAACTACAAAATCCATTACTCTCCACATATGTTTTCCTCAATCACAAACCTTATTAAAAATTATGCAATATGAGGCACGCCTCAACACTTTTTATAAAAATTTGAGGCATATGCCTCACCTAAGCTGAAGCCTCCCATGCCTCAAAAATCACCTCAAACTTTTGAGGCTATCCACAATTTTTTTTAAGCAAAACTAAACTAATAACAATATACCTCACTAATTAACCATCACACCTCTCACAAAGAAATACAATTTAAAAAAAATCTATCAACATAATTATATTATAATTAATATTTTTATTGATGACTATTCATTAAAAAATAGAAGATAACTAAGATTAAATATACTGAGTGATGGGAGAACATAGATATGACAAAGGATAAAATGCGGCATAAGCAAATCATTATGGTGATTTTTCTAATGAAAGCAATTGGATGATGAAAGTAATAAGGACTTTTAAATTTTAAATTTTAAATTCAGAAGACTTGTTATATTCTTGTTTAAGTATGCAATAGCATAAGTGAGAGAAAAACATTAATTAATATTAAATTTATTTTGATTGTTCTGTTTTGATGTTTTAGTATTTTATTTTAATATGTTAGCTTACTTTGATAATTAATTGCTTCCATAACGCATCTTATTTTATAGATTAATGTTAGGATATTGATGTGTTACTTCTAATTCTATGCAATTTATTACTTTTTATTTAGTTAGAATATTATTATATTACTTTTTAATGAGTTAATAAGTTAGAAGATTAATAAGTTATATTTTTACACACTTTATGGTTTATATAATATTTATTAACTTATTGAATCTTTTTTTATTCAAAGCCTATACTTCAAAATGCCTTGAGACTTATGCAGAACATTATGAATGAAAAATGTCTTAGTATCCAACTGCGCAATTTTAAATATTGATCATAAAAACAAATTTAATATCATACTTACAGAAATTATTATAACACTTGCATTGACAAGCTTATTCTCTTATGTTGTCCTCTGTTGCTTTTCAACTTTTCTTCATGATAAAAATAATTTCTCTTTATGTGCCATTTCTTTTTATAGCAGAAGCAAGAGATCTAAGATTGGTTATAAGACTAGTTCATGTCATGAGTTCTTAAGAGGATCGTTGGTTGTAGAACCTCTCACTAACCAAATAAATCTTCAACTATTTACACAATGTTCCCCTCTAGTGGCACCTGCATGAGCTCCGTTGAGATCTTGGACGTTGATTCAAGGGAATTAGAACCTTTTAATGGGTTGTCAAGGTATCGACCTAGAAGCATTGGGTTCTTTCGGATGTTGTGATAAAAAAACTTGATAAAAGAGGATAGAGTTGTGGAGGGCAAAGAACAATCGAAAGTTTTGATCTTACTAATTGGTATGTTGTAGGTATGGCGTTGGCTAATGTATATTAAAAGGATGTATTGATGCTTGGGGTGAGTTTTAGCAAGTGGAGGGACATGAGGATATGTAGGAGGATGCCCAGATGGTCATCATGAATAACATCGACGGAAAGCTTAAGGAAGTTTTTCATTTTCCTTTCGACACATCATGTTTGGTTTTCCCATATCCTCATCAAATATTTAGATTGATTAGAATAACAATGTGTAGAGACTCACCATCTCGTTGTCTTCTAACACTAACTTGATGGAATGTTCTGCTATATCAAAAGAAAGTTATGTTTTATATTATTAAATTCAAAATTTTGAGTGTGAGATGTGTAACTATTGATATTTCACGGGCTATCTATGTAGAAAAACCATAACAATAATAACAGCAACAAATTTCAGTGTAGATAGAATTTTTTTATGAGCTTAATTCAAGAAAAACTCGAGCGCTGGTGATTGGTATTAATCAGTGTCAAAGTTAGTATTAATTACTCTAATGAAAAAAACTAATATTTATATTTTGTTCAATACTAATCAAAATACCAAACATTGGTGCAAGAACTTTTCCTGAGCCAACATCATAGAAAAATCTCTCCAAATGTGGAACACGTAAAACATACCATAAATAAAAATAGGTTCTAAGCACGTTTTACCTTCAAAGCAATGGCAGTTAACAAAAGCATCTAACCCCCCAAGCAGCTTCCATGCCTTATCCACAGCCTCGTCAAAAGCCGCTTCCCTTTCATCTTCCATATTCAGTCCAATAACTTCAATCGGATACATTCCCTTCAAAGATCTCTTGATGTCCCCAGCCATCAATAGGAGGTCTTTCTCATAACCCAATAGAACTAACCTAAAGATTGCATCAAAATAATACAGGTTAAGAGGGAAAATCTAGAACTAGAGAATCCAATTAGCAAGATCAAAATTTTAAGAACGGGAACAAAGACCAAATCAAACAGTTAGAGGCGCATATAGTGAACCTGCAGCCGCGCTTGGCAAGATGAGAAGCAATACCCTTCGAAACGACGTCTCCATTGGAGGTCAGCAAAACCCTCTTCGTCAGATTCTCCATCGCAGACAAATTAAGGGATTTGCAGAGCCGAGATTCAATCTAACCAGAAAGAGAAGGGAATGCCTGTAGAAGCACTCCGACCTCACAGGTACGAGCAGCTGCAGGTTGCCTTTGTCGATTGTGATGTTGTCTGAGTCGTATTTATAAGAAATGAGAGAAGCGAAGTCCATACTGGAGATTTTGGGGTTAGGTAGGGAAGTAATCGAACAAAGAGTTCATATAATTAAATGTCCCGTACTTTTATGGAGGGTAAAGGGGGCATGTGCATGCGTAATAATTAAATATTTGTTATTTATATAGTTCATGCTGTTTTGTTTTCATTTTTTTAATCATGGAATAATTATAAAAACTCAAATAAAAATTTTCATTTTTTTTTATCAAATATTTGACAATTTAATCTTTACACTTTAAAATATAAAAATTTAATATTTAAAAATGATGTAAATATTTATCCTACAGAATAATTAGTGTTACATATACAATTATATTAAATATATAGTAGGCCTAACTTGATTCGAGTTGACTCATTTGTTCGGTTAGGACAATCCATTCAACGTAAACCTTATTATAATAGATAAATATGATACAAAGAATAAATAATGGAGATAAAATAAGGTCATTATTATATTATTTAAATTTTAAAAAGAAAAAACAGCAATATGCTAACGCCCCGAAAATATGCTTCCATTTATAAACCATCACCTTAGAAATCACGTTATATCTAATAAGTAACTATAGTCCCTTTGACACGGCTAGATCGTTGAACCATACAGAGCATCCTGCTAAAGCTAAGAAAGTCTTGCTATTATAAAGATTCATATCTTGTTATACTTTTTATTAGTTGACTTCGCCTATTCATCCTTTGCAGCTTTCATTGTGAGCTTCAATGCCACTTCCTCCACTATGTTTCTCATTGTAGCATACATTGTTGCCTTTTTTGTTCCAAGTTTTGCTATCATGCCCTTCACAATCTCTGTCGTTGCTTTCTCCATAGTTTGCTTAATCACACTGAGCACGATGTTCTCATCTTTTAAGTTAAACCTCCTCAAATATCATTATTCGTAATAGCGAGATGTGACTTCGCCTTCCATAATTTCTCTTTCTTCCTCTTCGGGATCATCTCATATTTACCCCAAATTGAAAAGTCATTATCATGCAAAAACATGAGATTGTGGAGGAAAGAGATTGCAAAAGAGATAATGAAGATTTAAAAATAAGGTGATGGCTTCATTCTAATAATGCTCTATAAAGAAGCCTCGTGTGGCAAAATACGAAGATGCGACTCTTTTTTTTCGTACTCAATCATAATCATTTAGCTAGCTTGATGTTCTAACCACTTGGATCTGACCTAGCACATAAAAGTTGAGTATATCTCACTTAAAAGTTTTTTGCCTAGCTTTTTAACTATTTTGATCAGGCCATCAAGTTTATATCTGGCCCCATCTCCTGTGATTGATTAGAAATATTAACCAATGTTGACCCAACTTACACAAATTTGCTTGGACTAGAGCTACATTGGGTGGATACGTTTGTGCAACCAAGATGGTGTGTTTGAACTATTGCCCACATACCAATATGATAGAATGCTATAACACCTATATACCATGGTGTTATAGTACCCTCAAATCCTAAATACATTTGGTAGGCATCCTCATGTGACATATTTCATGAAGATATTCTAAAAGGCAATATAAAAGGCAATATAAAGTTGGGAGAATGATTGTATCAACTTCTTCTTCCAAGCACTATTGTGAGTAAAAGGTTGGTACATTTTTTAGTAGATGCAAGCAAAGAGCACCAAACCCTAATTTCTTTCTCATTCTCTCTTGTAATTTCATATTTGAGACTCCACTTTATCAAGTTAAGTACATTATAATGAGTAAGATGACTCACAAACTCATTTTTTTTAACATCTCCTTTCATAAATTGTAAGATGGCCTTTTGTCCATTTAACATCTTGATTCCTTATTATTTTCCTGAGGCCTTAATCTTATTCCGATCTTCCAGTTTAATTAGATAAAAAACATAAGCCAAAAACGTAATAGTAATCCACCAAATATAAACTCAAGGAAAAAAAAAAACCACAAACACACACGCACACACGTGCGTGTGTGCGCTCACTCGCACGCACGCGCCCATACACATGTCTAAAGCACTTCTTTAAGACTTTTGACGATTTAAAATCAAATAATATCATCATTCTCTTTTCCATAAGAATCCACCCATTTTAAATTAACCTTGAGATGCATGATTACAACCCTAGCGTACTCCACTTGATTTGGATCAATGTGTGAGGATTCTATGCCTTCCTCTTATGAGTTTATAGACAATGAACTCTTCTAATTCTAAATATTTTTAACTTTAAAAACAATAATCACTAACCTCTAATGATCATCACCAAAGTCCTCGATCCCAACTTTACAAAAATAGTGTTGATGTATATTATCACTGGAACACAAATTGTTTTCTAATATTTTTTTTTCACAATAAATAACTCGCATAACAACCAATGAATCCTCTTCAGCCTTCTAAATAATCTACTAACATGCATGTAAGGAGACATAAGTTGGAGAGATGTGGGTTTTCATTTTATGTTCTTATGAGCAATCACTTGTCTCATTTTTCAATTGTTCTTAACCTTATTGTATCTCAAATTTGGTACATGATGCTCAACAAATCACATAATTTACCTCACACGATTATTGATGATCCATTTCCTAGATTAAAGCTACTATAAAAGCCTTTCTAACTCTAAGACATTTTTTTAACACTAAAATACGTGGATGGTGAGATTACTACATTACGCAATAATAAATCCTTATAAAATCAACCTCACAATTCCTCACAAGCTCTTTAATCTCCAAACATACATTTAATTTTTCCCGGGGCAGCGCAGCTGCAGTTAAAAAGTTGGGAAGTTGCAGCTGCGTCAAACAGAGCATAATCTCTTTATAGTTAAAACATAATAGCAGAGCATACCTTCATACAATGAATGAAGGTGTTAAGAGTAAACAAATTCAAATTTTTTTGTTTGCATTCATCAATTTTCTATTATTTAGTTATTTCCTTATTTATTATCTGGATGTATAAATTTTTCACATCTCTTTTTTGGAACTTTTGGGTAAAATTTTCTATTATATTATTAGTGATTATCAATGAAATATAGAGCTATTTGGGATCAAAGGCTAATGAAATGTTTAGGTTCACTTTTATTTTTTATTTTTATTTTATTTGTTTATGTTTAAATTTGAAATAAAATATATTAAGCACCTAAGTAATGCTTTAAATTTTTCTAAAAATAACTTAATTCACGTTTTAAATAAAAATTAAACTGAAAAACAATACACCAAACAAACATATTTTTAAAAACCAAAAAAAAAAAAAGAAGAAAAGGAATAAGTAAATGAAGATCGAATACTTAATGAATTAATTATGTTGGTATATTTTTGAACTTTTATCAAACGCTCTCGAAATCATCCTTGGCATAAAATTAACTTGTGATTACAACTTTTTTTAGCTATAATCATTTTTACTTTATAGAAAATTCACACACATCGCACAAATGTCTTATGGATTTACATACCACACTTATGCATACTATATATATATATATATATGAAAAGATAGATTTAACTATTAAAAAATAAAATTTGATACTATTTTGACGTGATACGAAAGAATTGAGTGTTCTGCTTGTAAACATATTTTGATGTGAGATACGTAAATCTATAAGAATTGAGTGATATGTATTTAAATTTCACTTATTATTATTATTAGTGGACTATATTAAAGGTATATTTGATATGTTATATCCGCAACAATCAGATAGAATTTGTGTATGACGTAATTGAAACTTGCATGAGCTTGATTTGATCATCATTAGAGCATTATTTAAAATAATTTTGAACCAGGCTCAAATCTTAGTCGAACTTTATTCAAAACTATCTTTGTAAGAGGGCTCGAGCCAATTTCGAACAAAAATTCAAATATGTTTCTAAAAGTATTAAACAATAATTTGACTATATTTAAACATATGGATTCTCTACACATTGTGAACCCTGTTTAGCTCTCATTCAGTTATTTTTAAATCAACATTGTACATAAATGACTGAAATAAATATTTTGAAGCCAAAGTGAAAATATTTTGATAAAGTGAGAAGTTTCGGGCATTTTTCAAAAGTAGTTGGTTTTGTTTGAAAATTTCAGCTTTGAAAGTATTCTTTTTGTGAAAAATTTTCTGAATTATATCTCTACTCATGCAATTGATGCACTTTCCAAATTCATTTTGGAATCTGAATTACTATCAAGAACAATTATTAAAAACAAAATTGAGGTATTTACATACATACATACCACCCAATGCTTTATAATACCATATTTACAAATGTAGGAACTAAAACTTCAATAAAACCACAAGACTCCCACTCTAGTGCCCCTTGTTATAATTTTCTTCTTCCTCCACAAAATCAAAGTCTCTCTCCCGGAAAAATATTACATCAGTACTACGCACGTAGAGTAACGTGCGTGGCCAATGAAATCACGCCACGACACCTCACGCAACAGGAAAAAAAAAACGACGGTGTAACACGGAGAATATTACTGCCCGTGTTACTCATGTGTTATTGTGTGTTATTCATGTGTTACTGATGTGTTATTGTGTTTTTATAGCACCAAAAATATTCTCAGGACATAATAACACATGAATAACACACAATAACACCAGAATAATACAGGGGAATATTCTCGACAGAGAAAAAAACAGCGTGGTAACATGGGGCAATATTCTCCCTCAAGGCCGTTTATTTTTCTGATGCGTGGGGTGTCGTGACATGATTTTATTGACTACGCACGTTACTCTATGTGCGCACAAAAGAGCCGGACCTTGCTTTCTCTAGCAATGTCGCCAACCAAAGAATTTGCATCCGATAAGGAAAAAAAAATTACTAGGGGATTCAAAATCTAGCACCTTGTGAAGTGTACAAATAAAGTAATATACAACACCAATTTCCACATAAAAAGGCCGGGAAGGTCAACAAATACCATGAAAATGAAACAAGCCCCTTAAATTCTCCACGCTGAATATCAAGAATGATAGCAGAAACGAAGGCAGCCAATTTGAAGAAAACTTTCCGAATCAAAACATTCCCTGTTTTCAGGTAGGATGAGGCCAAGCGGGAGGAAGACTAGATTTTTAGAGGCCTTCGTACAGCAAGATGCTGTCATGGCCTTCCGAGCTGACTGGAAGTCTTTCTTGTAGGATCAGAGCGGACGGGGGAGGAAGATGAACAGTAGCCTTCATACACCATGCATCCGTTTGTTGCCTTCTCAGCTAAGTCCGCTCGCAACTGTATCATGAGGTTTCAATGATGGTTTCAGACAAGAGACGCAGAGTACAGAATCCAGGGAGATTTCATTAAGTAAATAAGGCATGGAATTCTCTAGGTAAATCAGGAAAAAGATGGAGAAATCGTAAATTAGAGGGGAGAAGGCAACTGCATGCCCTGGACAGAACGTGGTTCCGCCCCTGGTCCTAACCCATCCAACCAGCAAAGCACCTCCCTCCCATCCCTAAATTATTTCTGAAAAAAATATACTTAATTGGCCAAAATAAGAATTAAATATTCTATAATCAATATAAATATTTTACTTCAGACAACATAAGTATTAACAAATTGCATGGTTATTTCGTTGTAACTAGAAACCGATTTATGCAAATCCATCTAAGCACAAATCATTATCTCAAAATAATGTTATTTAACATTATCTAATTGAACATTTAACACTGCCATTTCTGGGTCCCAAACCCAGATGAAAAGTGGAGTGTTGTATTAGATAGTTGACAGCAAACGTAAAATTTGTCAAAAAATCATGACTTGAATCCTTTTAATAATTGTGTAAATACTAGGGTGTCCCCTGAAAGCAACATGTTGTATGACTTGAATACAATGAAAAGTGTGTAAGGGTCGCTACACCGGCGCGAGTGTAGTGTCAAATAAGCACGGGTTCCCATATTACGGACAGATGCGAGTAAAGAAGTTAGTCTATGAAATGAATATTAGGATAAAATCTTCAGATATATGTATTCTCACAGGTAAAATTAATGAAATTAGTTAATATTATGATTCATAGAAAGATAAATAACTTATGTATTCAAAAAACTAAATGAGTTAGAGAAAATATTAAAACTAAATGAGTTAGAGAAAAACTAAATGAGTTAGAGAAAATATTAAGAAGATTGTTAGTTTTGGTTCTAAATTTTGGTATTTAGGTAAAAGTCACATTAGAAATGTTGTAGGTGTAATTATTGATAAGAGTTTGAAAGATAATGTTATGAAAATTAATAGAATTTGAGATAAAATAGAATTATAGCCCTCATGATTGTTTTTGATACTAAGATTTTTAATATTATAAGTGCTTATGCTCCTCAAGTAGGTATAGATATAGATTCCAAATATAAATTCAACAATGATCCAGAAGTTTTAGTACAAATAATGTCCATTGAAGAAAAAATTTTTATTGGAGAAGATTTAAATGAATAAGTTGGAAGATTGATAGAAGATTTTAGAAATATTCATGATAACTACGGTTTTGAAGTGATTAATGAAGAAGATAGAGTCATATTAGATTTTTCTTTAGCGTATGATTTTATTATTGTTAGATTTGTTATTGCTATTATTTTATTTAAGAAAAGATATAAGCATATTATTACTTATAAGAATGGATCAAATAAAACACAAATTCATTATTTTTTTATGAGAAGAAGAGATTGTCGAAAATGTAAATATTGTAAGATCATTCCAAGTGAGAATTTAAATACCCAACAATGATTGTTAGTTCTAGATTTTAAGAAAAAGAGCTATAAAATAAAATAAAAATACTAGAAACCATTGTCATAAAATTAGATAGGGGCACCTAAAAGACAAATAAAATTATTTTATGAGTAAACTTCAAGATTTCGAGATTTGGGATGTTCATAAAGAAATTAATTTCATGTAGAATAAAGTAACACACTATCAAACAAGTGACAAAAGATGTACATAGAGAATCAAAACGAAAAACTTTAATAAATAAAAATAGTTGGTGGTGGAATAAACATATGCAAAAAAGATAAGATATCAGAAGTTATGTTATAAAAATTGGTTTAAATGTAAAAACTTAGAGAATTGTGAAAAATATAAAATGACTTGTAGGAAGTCTAAAAGAACAATCTATGATGCTTAAAATTCTGCTTTTAGTGATTTTTATAATAGATTAAATATTAAAGAGGATGAAAAATATATGTATAGACTAGCCAAACAAAGAGAAAAGAAAAATAAAATTTTAACTCAAATAAAATAAACTAAAGATAAAAAACAATAGGTGTTTTTCTTAGAAAAAAATATTCAACATAGATGGTTGAATTATTTTGATAAACTTTTTAATGATATTTTGAAAATATGATCGACTGTAGTGATCTTAATATTGCTAATAACAATATTTTTTTCATTTTTACCGTTGTATTAGTTAAAAAGAAGATGAGAAGGCTTTAAAAAAAACCAAGAGTGGAAAGCCTGTAGGATCTGATGATATCCCAATTGAAGTGTGCAAATATTTATGAGATTTGGGAGTTTCTTGCTTGCTAAAATCTTAATATTATTTTAAAAATTAAAAAGATGCCTGAGGAATAGACGAAGTATTTTGATCTCATTTTTAACAATAAAGAGGATACACAAGAGTGTGCAAATTATAGAGGAATTAAGTTGATGTGTCATACTTTAAAATAATGGGAGAGGATAATTGAACATAGTTAAAGATGCTTTACAAAGATGTTGATATGACTTATATTCAAGTCATTAAAGATATGTATACTAGAGTTGTTACTTGCATTCGAACAGAAGAAGGATTGACTAAATATTTCTCTATTTCAGTTGGATTACATCAAGGATCGGTTTTAAGCCCGTATCTTTTTGCTTTAGTTATGGATGCTCTTACTGGACATTTACAGAAGGAAGTACCTTGGTGTATGTTTTTCACTAATGATATTTTTCTTGTGGATAAGTCTAGAGATGGAGCTAAGGAAAAAAACTTGAATTATGGAGGCCGACATTGGAGTCTAAAGGCCTTCGTTTTAGTATAACTATAATTGAATACATGGAATGTGATTTTAATAGTAGTAACTCTAGTGACAGAGTAGTAACTATGGGGGATCAAATTATGAAAAGGTGTGAACGTTTTAGAAATCTCAAATCAATTGTTCAAATTGATGGTGATATAGATGGGGATGTCATTAGTAAAATTCAAGTTGGTTGGTTGAAGTGGAGGAATGCTTTAGGCCTATTGTGTGATAGAAAAGTACCACTTGGAATGAAAGGAATATTTTATAAAATGGTGAGACCTGTTAGGCTCTATAGCGCAGAATGTTGGCCTTTATAAGAGAAGCATAAAATTAAGTTAAGTTTTGCCGAGATGAGAATGCTTAGGTAGATAAGTGGCTTTACACTTAGAGCAATGCAGAATGAATATATCCATGATAGGGTTGGTGTAGCTCCGGTGATGGACAAAATTAGAGAAAGTCATTTTAGATGGTTTGATCACATTAAAAGCTAGCTAGGAGAGTGGATGTTTTAGATTTGAATTATGTTAAAAAAGACAGAGGTAGGCTTGGAAAGACTTGGGCATATTGTATAAAAAATAAAGAATTAAATGAAAATATGACATTCAATAAGATGGAGAAAAAAGATTCATAAAGCCAACCCCATTTAATGGGATAAAGGCTTGTTGTTGTTGCTATTGTTGTATCTAATTGATGATTTATTTAAAAAAATGTGTCCTTGGATACTTACGTAAAAGCCAAGTATTATTACAACGTTCAGGGATCAAAATTACGTGTGATCTTTAGCTTTCAATAAGGTTATTTAAATGAGTAACGCATATAACATACATTCAATATGGCCGATGGCTACAAAAAATTAGAAATTGTCTACAAATTGTGGTGAGTGTTTCTTTATGCTTTGTAAGACATCCTATGCATGATGCATCATACTCAAACTGATCAAATTTAGGTGGCTCAATCTGAATTGCAGCAGCACAAATTAATGCAATGAAAGCTCAAAGGGTCATTTACATTCATACCACACAATTCTTATATATTTATATATCTAACCCCTATATGTATATGCATAATACATAAATCTTTAACATCATATCAAAAATACCACTATTGCTAACTTAACAAAAAGAAAACACTTTTCACATATAAATTTATGATACCAAAATTGGATATGTAAATATTAAAACTTAACAGTCAATATGTCAATTGATAAAAAATGTGAATATCACAATGAACACCTAGAGAATTTAAATACTTACTGTATTAACCTTCTAAAACTTATAACTATAAAGTAACAATATTCAGCTGCCACATGAGTTCATTGGATGAATAGACCTCAATTTTTCCAGTAAATGTTAAAAGGCTCCACAGGACATTATTAAATAAATTTGAAATCCAAATATGTAATAGAATTTTACACTCCTAACTTATAATGTGCAATGAAAGTTGCAATAGTGAGGCTTTTGTACATAGGATGCTTACATTCTAGTGGTAGCCTTTCTTCCTTCAGTGTTCCTCCGATTTCCATTCTCCACGAGACATCCACCAAAGATGACAATTCCCTGAAATGGTACAAGGACTGTAAAAGATAGAACAATGATAAAAGCTAGAGGCAACATACAAGCATTGATTGACATTGATTTATATTGCCAGACAAATTACTTTAGTGGCAACGGCATCAAAATAAACAAATAATTGAATAAAAATGCATAAAAGTGGAATTAAGAGATCGCTTGTTTTGCTGAAAAAGAAATATAGTGTAATTGAAATTTCGTGTATCATAAATGTTTTGGAATTATTTTATTATGTGTACAACATATATACGAGTTTTTTAATTTTTTGTGTTTGGTTTCAAGAAAAATGTATAAATGAAAAAATGTATAAATCATTTTCATTTGAAGGATATTGGTTACATTTCTTATGTACATTTGAATTCCATTGCTTGAATTAAGATAGTCCTAAATCTAAAATGGGTTATGTAATTGAATACGGAGTTAATGATTTTTGGTCGCAAATATTGGCATGAACAAAATCATATGATCATTTTGAATAGAATGTTGCATTCAATATAAGTTTCATATACAAAAAAAAGCCTGATATTACTAGGAAGCATGCCTCCAAAGGTGAAAATGTTGTTGAAGTTGACTGCTTTGAAGAGGCGATGCAATTTAACGGCTCTATCAAGTGGGAGTTAGCTGTGAGAGATAGAAAAACAACACATGTATATTCACTTGGTCTCCATAGAATAAAAAACAGTTGTGAAACAAATGGATATTGCATGATAAAGTAGAGGCATAATGACATTAAAGTGTAAAAATAGGCTTATGTTAAAATGGTCTCGACAAAAGAATATATCGATTTTAATGAATTTTCTCCTCAGATTGATTAAATAATTACTATAAATTTTTTTCCTCATAATAAAGAAAATAATTTATGATACACTTATATGGACACGAGACAACTATTCAGAAAATATAGGGCATAGACAAGTATATGTATTCAACATGACATTATAATTGTCAAGACCCGACCCGGAGCTTGGAGTTAACCAAGACAGAAATAGACGGTCGGATGGTGAAAATCAATTCTCTCTATCATAAGTAGTTTAATATTCAAATAATATATAAAAGAACCACTATAGAAACCAATTAAAATTAACAAGTAAAAATTTGTACATTTTTATTTGTTATTCTTGTCTTCTATACAAATATGATCATCTTCTATTCATCTTATTCAAATTTCTAAAACCTAAAAAGAAATATTAAAGCAACATAATAAATTATCTAAAGATAACTCAGGAGCAATCACACTTCTAAACTATAACAATTCAAAGAAAGAAATACAACATGCATGCTGGTCTTTTATATTTCCATAAAAAATCAAATAATATGTTAATCTTTTATATTTTATAAGAAATCTGATATTACATGTATCAATGACCTTTTTAAATGAAAATATTCAAGTATTTTGTATGTGTTTATTTTATCTTTACTTTACTTTATACTCTTTACATACACATATGTCTCTGTGAAGACCACAGCCAACAAAATCTAACACACCCTTGGTCAATATTGCTCAGTTGGCTCTCGTTGATACAACGGTTAGTGATGTAAACATCACAATTATATTGGGTAGAAAGACCCTTGCCCCTGACTGATATTATCTTGTCGACACAACGGTTAGCAATGTAAACATTACAATTGTATGGGGAGGTAAATATCGCAATTACATCAGGACTCGAATCATAATGCGCTACGTGTACGGTCCAGCCCCGTCATGCATTAAACTATTTAGTTTTTTGTATTCAGTGGGATCATATTATACACATGGCACATTGTATTATTGGATTCCTGATGCAGTTTGGCACAGAACTCCTGATGTAATATTTTTTTCATAGTCGTTCGACTGAAACCCCTAGGCTTAATATCACGTAACACGGAGAATATAGTAAGAGCGCAGGATTAAGGATAATTAAGAGTTTAATTAAGTTAATTAAATTTTTTTTACTTTCAATTTTTATATCTTCCAATCTATTCAAAATTTATACATAGCGCTTTATATCGAATTGATCGATCTGACATGTAGAATTTTATAAAATTAACTTAGTTGAAATCTGTGATGTGCGAAAATTGAGGTATATTTTAAGTTGCCAAAAATTTATGTGATTCCTCAAAATGGATTATTATAATAATAGTATATCTGAAACATTTTAAAATATTAATAATTGCATAAATTATAAAATAAATAATAAATTCATACAATAATAAATTTATTTTGATTGGTTAAAATACGAAATATATTTAAAATTATGAAATTGTTTAAACATAATTGAAAAAGAAATAATTGCATTCTATTATAGATTGTTAGGCTGAAATTGAGAAAATTATTATTTTTTAAGTAAGAAATAAACATTATGAAAAAATCAAAAGAAAGTAGAGTGGAATAAGCAAAATAAAACTAGATATAAATAACTAGTAAGCTATTTAAGTATTATATTTTAAAATAAAAGAGAATAGATGATCTTAAGTTATTTATGTGACATAGTTTTAAAGTCAAACTTCATTATGCAATAATAATTTTTTAATCTTTTATAATTAGCCTCGTAAATGCAAATTTGACATGTGTTATGGACATGTCAAACATGGAAAATTTCATTATTATGAAATATTTGTGTATCATTAGTTAAAATGATTTTTTAATCGCATTAAACAACACTTGACACTGAGTTGAGAAGTCTCGATAGAAGTTTAGAGCTACAATCTATACACATACATAACGTTCCTTGCATTACATATTTCTAATAGATGATGGTGAGCTTGAAAAGACAGAGGAATAAAATCCCTATCATGTCAGAGCTATCAAAGGCAAGAAGAGCGTTGCAGCTATGTTACAACAACAAAGAGCAAAATAAGACATAAAGCAGAGGTAAATGCAAATGAAATTGCAAAGCTTCACTCAGCCCAAATATTCTCTCAAAACGTATGTCAAAATTTAAAGTATTAAAAGGGATATTGTTGAGATGTGCAAATTCCATTATTGCTTGGAAAGTTTAGGATTATTTTAAATATGCGCAATAACAAATCAACAGTAGTAGTCTACTATTTTGTTAAGCCTAGTAAATTTTGAAAATAAAATCATTTTAACCTCTCTTGCTAAAATCAAGTAACAAAAATATCAAAAAAAAAGTTCACTAAATCCAGCACCGAACACCTTATTCAATAAGGGGTGAAATCAAGACATGGTAGCATGAGTTCTCAAAATATTGTGTAGTGGCCTCACAGTTTTATTTACCTTTTTTTTTACTGAGCATAATTTGGAACAAGATTTTTGGCAGAGCATCGCTTAGTAACATATTCTATACTAGGTGTAAGCACACATGCTAATACAAAAGAAAGAACATCGCATTTGTAGCACTAAAGCTCTACATAGTACAGGAGTTGGTGGAATTAGAACATGAGATGGCCTATGAAGCTGAAACAACTTACTTTAGATCATGACTAACAGCAAGTACAGTAAGTTCCTTCTTTAGATCCTTCAGCAGCTTTAAAACATCAGCACGAGCCTTCCAATCTAGTTCAAAAATACAATTATGTAAAGAAACAAAGTTTTTCTAAAAGAAAATGGCAAATGCAGGAACAATTCTGCCAGTTTTTTATATGAATCTAAGGGAGTAATTAAGATTGGAGCAACTCCATACCAAGACCAGCAAGAGGTTCATCCAGTAACAACAAAGCCGGTTTTTGAACCTGAGAAATACACATATAGAACAGAAAAATTGCATGTAATAATTTATGATTCACAACTAATGTCAATTAAAAGTACTTCAAAGAATCATTACTAGTTGAATTGCTAAGGCAAGACGTCGCTTAAAACCGCCACTCAAAGACTGTGGATTCTCTTCAAGGGAGATTGAATGGAAACCAACCTGAGTTCGAGATGCAACAATCAGATTATGAAAGCTAATTTGAATTACTTCAAAAGGGGATATATATAGTCCGCCCCTCGGTCAGACTATGGGGTTGATCAACAATCGATCTACCTTTTTAATATATATATATATATATAACAATTTAAACAAATTATAATCTTTTATATGTTTTATTGATGTTTAGAATTGATATGTCATCAACAAATTTCAATTATCTGACATGAATCTCGGGACATGACATAAATCTTAAGGTAATTTTTTTAGCGAGAAACATTCAAACTTTACCTAAAATCATCTAGAACTTTAATTTCAGCAAACTTATAATAAACTGACATACACGGTGAGACAGACCCAGTGACGCCAAAGTTGGTCTAATATGAGTCAAATCAAGCCTGAATTAAATAGTGAAGGCACTTTTAGAAGTTTTTCAATGCTTAATTGAAAGGCAAATGGATTACAAATCTGATAAACTTACAATCAAATCGAGCGTCTAACCTAGACGAATCCAATGAGTTCAAGATCACTCAATTCTGATATCATTAAAATACTATCATTAAAATACTCAAATTTGTAGAACTTCATCTGATCAGGGAAACCTCTCCGGGTCATTCGATAGATTGGTTCGGATTCTTTTCTTATTTGCAGAAAGACCACCCCCAGACTTTATAAATACATAGAACCTCACTCCCACTTGAGGGAGACCTAGATCTTGATCTAGAGAAAGACTGGAGCTTGGATGAGAAGTAGTTGAATCACCATATTCTACACCGAAGGTCCAGTGAATATCACCCGCTCCTGCAGTCGCCGACCACTGTCGACAACAGCTCGCTGGCCGCTGTCGACTACCATCAACCTCCACCCGCTCCTTGCGGTGGAATCCCTTGCAGAGTCACAAGATGCATTACGAAATCCCAGCTTACATTGTGGAACAATAAATCACTTGGGGCAATAATACGTCGTCCAATACACTGAGCAATGACCCCAAAAAATGGTGTAACAATGCACTTCAAATACGGTGCAAAGACAAGCCTTACATATAGTGCGACGATGCATCCCTAAAATGGTGTAACAATACACCTCGAAGCATCCCTAAGATGGTATAATAACACACTCCGAATACAATGCAACGACTCACCCCACAACAACTGCTCACAACTGTTGTACTCTAATTACAATGAATTTTTCTGAAATCTTGAATCTCTCTCCTCATTGCTCAACACTATGACTTATGTCCAACTAAGACCTATGTGGTCAACAACTGGTGTATTTCTCAACTCTGACATCTACGACCTACGAACGTTATCACAACTCGCACAACTCACAACTCCAGTCTCAGTGACCTATGAATATTATCGCAGCTCGAGCAGCAACTCCCAACTTCGGCTTCTATGGTCTACATATATTATTACAGTTTGTGCAGCTCCTAACTCCAGTCTCTATGTCTAACAGACGTTACCGCAACTCACCAATAAGACCCACGTGACCAATTATGACCTTCGTGTTTCACCACTCATGCTGCATCCAACTCTGGCCTCTGTGGCTAACGGATATTATATCAACTCACGAAGCTCCCAACTTTAATCTCTGCGGCCTACAGATGTTATCGAAACTCATGTAACTCTCAACTCCGGCCCATGCGGCCTACAAACGTTATTGTAGTTCATGCAACTCTCAACTCCAGCCTCAACGGCTTACATATATCATCACAGCTCATGCAATTCTCAACTCCAGCCTCTGTGGCCTATAGACTTTATCGCAGCTCATGCAGCTTCGAAATCCGACCTTTATGGTCTACGTATGTTATTGCAGCTCTCTGCTACAGCCTTTGTGGTCAATCGATGCTTTTGAAGCAACTATCTACAACACACATGACCAACTACTATCATAGCTTTCAATTACAGTCCTATGACAAACTGATGTTACATCCACTTTCTATAACATTTAAGGCAGACTACTGTCTGCATAGCAATCGACTACGACATTCATGACTCATCGTGATTATTATTGTTGAAATATTGTTATATATCAACTTTATAATTGCATCTTCTCTCACTCAAGAGAAGAGTGAGTTTGTGTACTCACAATTACATATTGTATTATTTAAAATAGGCTAAGCCCCATAGTTTTTTCTCCTTTCCCGGGTTATTCACTTAAAAAGCTCAAATGTCTCATCATTCTTACCAATCTTAATTACCTGAGTGTGTGTTGAATCTTCATCCAATACTAAGAGGCTAAATTATCACTCCGTCATTAGTAATCTTCCGACACACATCAAGAAAATTTCCCTATATAACTGTTAATAATTCAATCTTGATTCAACTTACTCCCTAAGATCAACTCATAAGGCATTTGATCCGATCTAGAGTACAGTCCGACTTAGATTTGCTTGATCCAACTTTCAAGGGATTCCAAATCATCACCTCCAATTTAGAATGATAAATTAATAAATTGTTGTGTGATTATAATGATATAATAAATATAAAGAAAAAACTAAAGGATTAAATTTATATTAAATAATAATTTGTCAGAGCTCTTATTAAAAATGTATTTTAAATTGGATCAATTAGTAAAATAATAGTTATTTAAAATTAATCGAGACCTTGCTATCAAATACATATTTTTAATTGATTCATTATAGAAACTAAAGAATCAAATAAAAATAAATATAATTTATAGATTATATTAAATATATTAAATCTATTAAAGAATTATGGGAACTTCATTTTCAAGTTGAGCTCTAACTTCATGTCGGGCTTTAAAGATGCTAGATATTCTTTGTATATCTCTTTAATATTTAAAATTAATTATACAATTTCTTAACTTATAATCATTAAAAATTAAAAGTTCTTTTTCCAAAAATTTATTTATATTAATTCATATTAGAATGCAATAATATATTGATTGGATGGGAAAATGACAACTTTTTTATGTTTTAAACAACTAAGAAAATGTTAGATTTTGAGAGAGCCCCATTTCAAAATGAAGTTGTAGTTATCTAGTACCTATTGGGAAATTATCTCTCATTACAGCTGAGTAATATGCATATAAATAAGGCAAAAGAATACCCCACTAAATGCATATTGAAGATTTGAAGCAAGTTGTTCTCTTTCTGAGAAATCTGCCTTTTGCCTTGGCCATCCAAAGGTGACTTCTTCTAGTATTGTATCGGCCAAAAAGTATCTAGCACCCATATTGAAGAGAAAAAGATGATGGAAAAAGAAATGATTTTTATAACACAAGAAATTTACATAGACATGGTTAACGGTCTATTTTCATTTATCCAGCTAGCTACCTTGGCAGTTTGAGAAGCGTTGCATATCACAAGCTGTTGTTCACTCTAAGATATTTAAGCATCTTTTCTAACACATAGCAAGTTTTATATTAAACAAAGTTTGCTTATATGAATATGAACATTTTCCAATAGAAACACTTTTCAAAACCTTTAAAAGAATTTAAACATAGGTTTACCCATATTGAAAGCACTGCTTAATTTTTTTCTTTCTGACTCAAACTATTTGACTCTCTAGCAATTGTGGCATAAAACTAGCATACATTTCGCCTGAGTTCCCTCAGCAACAGGGATACTTGTTGGAGAATGTCAGTAAAATATCAAACTTTTCTGATAAATATGAGTTGAATCATGTAACTTTTGTACAACAGCATATTTCTTAAGATTAATACCTCTCAGGAAACTGAAATACAATGCCAACTCTTTCAGGTAATAATGTTTCAGGCGATTGTTTTGGTCTTCCATCTTCTCCATACTGCTGAATGCAGATGGAACCAGATGTTGGGGCGGATAGTCCAGAAAGAATCTAAGCAAAAAAACATGAACAAAGTTGATATAAAAAAGGAAGATCAAGTGTAATCAAATTTCATGGAACATCTAAATGTATGAGGAACCTGTAAAAGCGTGGTCTTTCCACTTCCACTTCTTCCGAATACTAGGCCAAAGCTGTACCAATCAAATCAAATACTATATCAGTGAGTGAAGGAGAAAATTCATTCGAATGATACTTCAATGGTGCAAAATCAGCAGAAAATAAGTTCGAAGCATGACTGTGTCAGCATATTCACCTCTTCAAAGGCAGTGATAAACTGACATCATTCAATAAATTATGTTGGACTCCAGGCGGTCTATAACAAACCTTCTTCACCTTGGAATAAGAGAAAAACAATATCGCATAGCTTCAATCACTTGTTAGCCAGAATGGAATAGTTCCAAAACCGACGAAAATTTCATTCTTCGTTGGAAAACATCTAAATAAACAATGGTGGGATGCAGATTTCAATGAGTAGGAAAAGCAAAAAGAGCGCTGATTTCTAGCTATCTTGGTAACATGATAGGAAAAAATTGGGGGGGTGGGGAGGCAGTGAGGGAGCTTTACTTCGATGCAAGAGTAATCGGAAGAAACCCTAAGAGCTCCAGATTTCCCCCAAAATCTTCATCAATGAAGCAGATTGCATCAGCTCGCGATGAGGGGTGAACAAAAATTCAATTTTTCCTAGAAAATGAGCAACTTACCTCGGAACAGATTTTGGGGAGGATAAAGAAACGGACGCGGTCCTCATCGCCATTGCCCGTAGTTAACCAAGGCTAGCGTTTGGACTTAAATCAAATATGAAAATTTTAAAATTTAAGCATTCGGTGGGATTAAAATGAAAAGTTGCGCAAAATTTTGGTGAATTTAAGTCTACTGTTCAAAATTGTTGTATTATGAATTCTTTAGATTTGAGTTATTTCTATATCGACACTGCTTTCGTCGACCGCTGCCCACTATCATTAGCCAATGCATGTCATTGCTTGCGAGTTATATGTCACGGACAAATAGTCTCACATCGGCTAGGTGTAGGACCAAAAAGCAGCCACCACCCACAAGGGCTCTTTTGGGAGGTGACAAGTGGTATCAGAGCAGATTACTGTCTGCCAGGTGTGTACTCTCCATGGTCCAGTGGGACCCTCGGTGAAGTCGATCCGTGACGAGGGCGTCACGTGATTGAGTGGAAGAGAATGTCACAGACAAATAGTCCCACATCGGCTAGGTGTAGAGCCAAAAAACAGTATTTAAGTCTTAGGCTGCCCACCACCCAGAATGGCTCTTTTGGGAGGTGACATATAGCTACCGATGTACCCAATTTCGCATGTCATATAAATAATACAAAGCGAGTAAAATATCATTCACGCAAAACCATAATTAAGTTTTTTATAAATTAATTACAAATTTAATTCTGCCTAAATTTTTATACAACAATTAAGAGATTATAAAACTACTGTCTAAAATTTTAGGAGAAAATTTTACACTGCATAATTATAAATTTAAAGTTATGACAAAGAATCTCTTAATTTATAGGTTCATCAAAATAGTACTTAATTTTATGGTTTGATTTTGCATTAATAAAAGTAATTGTCAATCAAGAACTATATACATTATCATCTAGTCTCTCCAGATAACTTAGATGCTCTGACTTTAATGATTAATACAATATATTTCTATGAGAACTAAAATCATAATATTGTGTTAATTACTAATCTTAAGTGATTGTAAACTTTAAATTGACTATATCCATAACCCAACTAATTGACATGTTGACATATCATGCTACTATTAGATACACCAAACAATTCTAAAAATTAAAAATCGTAAAGATCTAACCAATCATTAAGCAAATAGTCTTGGCCACATCTTTAATCCAGACAAGTACAATAGTTCTTGTCACATTCAAATAAACCATTCATTGAACTAGACTAAATTACAACAAAATGAAGAATGAAAATAAAAGAAAAGGCTTGAAAAGATGTTCCTATAAGAAGTCCTGCATCTCTAATTTTATTTTGTTTTCCTTCTCTTCCAATTGATTTTTTCCATCTTAGCTTTTATGATGTTGTAAAATTGAACATGTTGAGCCATCACACAGTGACACCCCTCTTGCAACATTGAAGTACTAGCTCTGTCTTTAGGCTGATATTTGCTCCTAGCATTGAGGCGCACCAAAACGTGGCACCAAGGCACTATGCTTTCTAACTTGATGTCATTTTTTCCTTCAGTCATCTATTACTACAGTGTCACATATTAACTTTTCAACATTGTGATCTTGAGTTTCTGAATAACTTCTCAAACTTCAAGCATCGGGGTGCTCTAAAGCTTGCATGGGGCAATGTCTCTAGTGTTGTTGCGGTGCATGACTAGCACCATTGGCTCATGCTCTTTGTTATGCTTCTATTGTATGATTTATTAGTGTTGTGATGTTGCTGGATATAGCAACTGATTGCTCTCTTGACTTTCTTTGAATTTTTTCTTTGTTTCATTTTCTATGAGAAATTTGTGCAATAATATTATAATCAGTGATAATAACCCACAAATAGTATTATTTTCACTTAAAAAGGTATATTTACTCATTAGATTTTTAATTTACTCAATTCACTAAGTATTACTCTACCATGAGCCAACACTCGCCATCGCAGGTCGCCGTCGTAATTCCATTCATTATATACCTCCATTGCCAACTGCTACAAGCAAAAGTGGTCGAAGCAGTCGAACACCTCCCACCGCCAACCATCATAGCCTCAATTGACTGTGTTTATATTGATTTTATTTTTCATCAAACAAATTACAAAAATATAAATTCCTACATTTATTTTACAGCAAACCAAACAACTTCAAAATATTTCAAATTAAACTTTATTTTTTAGATTTTTGAAGCGTGCAAATAACTTCATTAGTTGTATATAAATATAAGGAATATTGCTTCATCTTGTAGACAAAGATTGAAACATCATTTTTAAATTCCATGAATAGAGCTCCATTAGATTATGTGGAGCATTCAATTAATGGATCGGAGCAGAGCGATGGAGCTTTGATCATTAGTAGAGGTGCTTGATCACTACTAACAACCATCTCTAGCTTTTATGGATTCCTACCATATTTGCTTGTAGAAAGAGTATCTTTATAACTATCCTCAAAATCCTTAGATTAAGTCAAATACTAGTCCTACTTCATATCAAATTTTATCTAATTAGTAGAAAATGTTTTTAAGATTTTACTTAGAAAATAAAAAGATAATTTTTTTTCTATGATTTGTCAATTAAATAAACTTATTTGAACTAATAAAAACCTTAAATGATCGTACTCAATACAAGGTTTTCTTACATATGTTGTCAATCAATGACAATTCTAGTATTTAGGTTATGTCAAGCCATTAAAGAACATTAACGTCTCATATTACAATTTATATATTTAAATCATGCAAAAAATCTCCAGAATTTCTTATTCCCTAAAATAATTGTAATTTTCCCACAACTATATGCCTATGTTATACAAAAATTGAATGATGATCCTACTATTTCATTAGTGTAATGTCAAAAATGTAAGATTAAAGTGAATATTAATATATGAATGGCCAATATATAAGTAAATGAAGCTTGCAAGTGAACAAAACAACAATCACACTTTTTTTTATTCAAAAAATTAAATCTAGAGGACAAAACCTTAGATGTGTCACTAGACCAAAGAATTTAGGTTAATATTGTTATGAAAATCAAATGCAAAACATCTAACTAAAAAGAAAATGATATAAATAAATGAAAAAAAAAACACCTGAATTAAATCTCAAGCATCATGAATTTGCTTAATCTTCTTCCCCACTCAATGGACATAGCCTTTTCACTCACTCTCACACACTCACCTACCCTCACTTACTCAAAGGCATTCCTCTCTACTCTCATACAATGAATACACTTTTAAATCTCCAAAATTGTCTAATTTCCCCCTTGATTGAACTAACTTGCAATGAAAAAAAACACTATATGGACAAGTCTTGGCGCCACGAATACAGTGATGTGACATTGTAGGCAGCTTTATGATGCTCAAAGTGTAGCGCTACAACGCCAAGCTCTCGGATTTTGATAAATATTTCTTCATTGTTCATCATTGCGGTTTTGCAAATCCAGTTCTTCATGTGTTGTTATAGTTGCTCTCGAATTTTGATAATTTTTTCTTCATTGCTCATCATTGCGGTTTTGTAAATCTAGTTCTTCATGTGTTGTTATCGTAGCAACGCAAAACTATAGTAATTACTCGGTTTTAGTACTTTGCAATAACTATTCTCTTACAATAACATTATTACATTACTTTGCTATAATAACTTTGCTGTTTTTCTTTTCAATTTGTTGTCCTTTAATTTTTTTTGCATAAAACATAATCCAATGCCATAAAAGTATAAAATAATATAGCATTAAAAGAAAAATAAATAATATTTTTATGCATTTTGTTCGCTTAACAACTTCATAATTATGGAGTTTACACATCTACATAAATTATTCATGGTAGCTTTAATGCAAATTAATATGTAACAATATTTGCAAAAATTATATTATATTATATATATATATATATATATATACATACATATATACATATATATTACTTATGATTTGATAGTTAAGAGAGATACTAAAAAACATTATCTTGGTTTAAGATTGATTGGACATGCTATAACAACATGAAAACATAAATCAACATAGAGAAGAAACGTATATTTGAAGCTATTGCTTCAAAATGTTTGTGTTTATGGTTTTCTGGACATGTAAATGTAAGTCTATCTTTTAGGACTGCTTAAAACATATTTGGAGGGTTTTGCAAAGTACTTTAGAAGCTTAGGGTTTGATGTGATATTAAAGAGGCGAACCATACATCACATTTATGTTTTTTTGGAATGCATATCTTTATTTTGATTTCACTATGAAGATTAATGTTACAAGATCATACTATTAGCCAGTGATATCGTAGTTCTAGCGTACTTCACTTTAGTGATCAATATTTTAATGAAAGATGATAATTTTATAGACAAAATATTATTTGGACTTCTTTAATTGTGCTTGGGTATACATGGGATTAGGAAAATGATCATGAGCATTATTAGTTCGTACAATATAATTATGACTTTATCTCTATTTTTTAGAATCATTTCTCCTTCCAGCTCCCATAGATGCATGTCTAGTTTTTTGAAACCCATGTGATAATTAGTATCATAATGCACATTTTTCAATTTGATGAGATGTAGTTCAAGAAAAATAAATTATTGAATTATATCATAGAGAATTATAATTCTTTTGATGGTATATTTATAATAAATAAAATTGTCATGAATATAAACAAAAATAAATAATTGTTTGGGTTAGAGAATCACATGTTAAGAAAGTGAAAACAATAATTTGCTTCCAAATTATAGAAAAAATATTGGAATATATCCAACGTGAGAATTTAGATGACCGAATATATCATATTCATAGAGGCATGAAAATTTTTCATAGCTATGAAAAAAATATTGAAATATATTGAAATGCAAAATAATATAAATGTTCTATATAATCAGATAAATCATATTTTTGTTGTGTGGTCTTTTTTGATGACATATCTTACCATTATAATATTTTGGAGAAAAAACAACCACTTTAAAAACATGAAAATTCTATATCATTCCACTCTTAATATTGATAGATCCATCGTTAAGTAAAATATATGTGTTTCAATTGTTCCAACATATTTAAGAAAATGCATTTTTAAGTAATATTAATTAAATAATATTTATCAAGAATAT